CTCCCAGTCCTTCAGACCTGCGGGGCACATGCCCACTCACCAGCGCCCTCGGGACCCCACCCTACCCCTCGTGCCGCCACCACCCGCTGGGTCCCGGGGCCCACCTTTCTTCTCGTTCTTCTCGGCCTCTTCGAACAAGCCCGGCAGGTGCACCACCACGCCATTCCCTGTGAGCAGGGGCAGGCCTGAGCACTGAGGGCCGAGCACTTGGATACCCGGGGGAGCCCTCCGCCCGCTGAAACAACCAGACACAGGCGGCCCTCTGGTGCCAGCAGGGGCCGGGGCAGGGGCAGGACGTCGTGGCACACGTCATACCTGTGCCTTTACCGGCGATGCCAGGGCCCAGCGAAACCGGGCAGCGGGCGGGGCACTTTCCCCGGGCAACCCTCAGAGCTGGCCACAGCCCCCCGCAGAAAAGGAAGGCAGCCGGGGCACCGCCGCCCCCATTCCTCAGGCCGCCCTGGACCCGGGTCAGTGGTGCTGGGAGGCGGATGGACACGTCCGGGGGGGAGGAGCCAGCTAACCCGAGCACTAAAGGTCACCAAAATGCCACGGCGTCCTGCTGCGGCCACGTGGCCGGGCTGGGGGCAGCTGCTGCGCCGGCTCTGGCATGTCCTGTCCCCTGCTCCCTGGGGACCGCTGCCCAGGAGGGGCACAGCGCCCTCCCGCGAGAGGCCCGGCCCCGGCAGCCCGGACGTGGTTGTGTGCAGAACTGACAACCGAGGCCCAGGCCCTCTCTCAGAGAGGAAGGACAGAGGGAGGAGGAGAGAGACGGACGGAGATGGAGAGAGAGAGGGTGACATCAGGAGGAAAAAGATGGGGAGATACACAGGGGAGGATGGAGAGAAGAGGAAAGAGGGAAATGGGGAGAGAGGACAGACCGGGGAGAGAGGGAGAGGGACCGAGAGAGAGGGAGAGAGAGAGAGAGCGAGAGCGCAGGGCGGCGCTCACCGATGAAGGACACGGCCTTGGCGTTGATGATCCCGCTGGGCAGCAGGTGGAAGTCATACTCTTTGCCGTCCACCACCACCGTGTGACCCGCGTTGTTGCCGCCCTGTGGGCAGAGGGTCCTGAGGGCCCGCGCCTCCCCGGGACACAGCCCCCCGCACCCCCGAGGGTCTCCGGACCCCGCAGGCCTGGGCTGCCCCTCCCCACTTCCAGGAGGGCCCGACCCCACCCCAGTCCCCACGGTACCTCCCCTGCCACTCAGTCCCTGACTGCCTGCTCCTCCCCTCAGCGCCCCCCGCCCAGCCCCTGCACTGCCCGGCCCCCCACACCCCTCAGCCCTGCACTGCCCACCCCCCAGCCTTGCACTGCCTGGCCCCTGCACCCCTCAACCCTGTACTGCCCGGCCCCCACACACCCCCCCAGCCTTACACTGCCCGGCCTCTGCACCCCCTCAGCCCTGCCCTGCCTGGCCCCCATAGCCCCTCAGCCCCTGCACTGCCCGGCCCCTGCACCCCTCAGCCCTGCCCTCCCCAGCCCCCGCACCCCTCAGCCCTACACTGCCTGGCCCCTGCACCCCTCAGCCCTGCCCTGCCCAGCCCCACACCCCTCAGCCCTGCACTGCCCGCCCCCCCCACCACAGCCCTGCACTGCCTGGCTTCTGCACCCCTCAGCCCTGCATTGCCCAGCCCCTGCACCCTCTAAGTCTTGCCCCGCCCAGCCCCTGCACCCCCTCAGCCCTGCCCTGCCTGGCCCCCGCACCTCCTCAGCCCTGCACTGTCCGGCCCCTGCACCCTTTCAGCCCCTGCACTGCCCACACCCCCCAGTCCTGCACTGCCCACACACCCTCAGCCCTGCACTGCCCGCCCTCCCAGTTCGGCACTCCCCTGACCCCCAAAGCTCCCCACCCCACAATTCCCCCACTGCCCCGAGTGCCCTGACATCTCAGCCGCTCGTGGTGTGGGGGAGCAGCTCTGGGACTGACAGACTCTGGGACTTACTTGGCACCACTGGGCCCACAGCTGCCCACGCCCTTCCCTGGGTGGGCATGGTCACAGGCTGGAGCAGGGTCTCTGCTCAGGCTGGGGGGCCCAGCCGGGGCCCAGGGGTCTGCAGGAGGATCTGCATGAGGGGCTTCAGAAGACCTGAGTGCCCACAGGCCGCTGGCCCGGCCTTGCCCTCAGCCCTGCTCCTGCCAGGTGGGGCCCGGGGCCAGCTCTGCCTGCTCCGCCCGTGGCCTGGCGTGTTTGGGGTAAACACGGGCTCCTAGGAACGGAGGCCACGGGCCAGGCGCAGGGGCCAGAGGCAGGACCCCTCCCTCCGCGCCCTGCCTGGGCTGGGACACACGTGCAGGTGTGCCCAGAGCACGGCTCCTGCCCCCTGCCACCTGCAGAGCCCCGAGGGAACAGCAGCGACCCGAGAGTCCTGCCACCACCCTGTAGCCCAGGGGCCATGGGGCCCCGGGAGGGCGTGGTCCCCCCCTCTGGCTCTGCCCGGGGCGGGTCCGCAGGTTGCTGCTCTAGGCAGATCCAGCCCCCATGGTGGCCGGGGCAGGGGTCCCCGCGCGTGTCCGGGTGGACCCCAGCCCGCACGCGCCTGCCACTCTCACGCCCCAGCACGCCTTCACTCAGTGTGCACATGCTGGCGCATTCACTAACTCCTTCCCTTACCGCCCGCCCACCCCCCCACTCGCCCTCCCTGGCACCGCAGGCTCTGGGGGCTGTAGGAGACCAGCCCGGCAGCCCCCACGGAACTCCGGGGTGGGGGAGACCCTGCCCGCCGGTGACGCGTGGCAGGTGCGGATAGTGCGCTTGGCAGGGGCGGCGGAGGCCGTGCGGGCGGGGGTCGCTCCGGCCCGGAGGGGGCAGGCGCGGTTGCGCGCGTGTTCCTGCAGCCCCGGGGGGCGTCACGCCGTCGGCGTCGGGGTGCCCAGCGGTGGGCTTCGTCCACGCACTAGAAAAAGAGGCCCCCGTCCCTCACTGCCGCCTGGGGGCCGAGCGGGGCGCACTCCCCCCTGGGGGCGGTGGAGGGGCTGCAAGAGGCGTCGGGGTGCGCGTCCAGCACCGTCTGCTGCGGGCAGGGCGGCACGGCCGGACAGGTCACGGCGGGCCCCCGCGCGAGGCCGCTTCCGTCCCGTCCCGGGGGCCGGCAGGGACGGGGCGGGCAGCCGGCGGGTAGGGCAGGGGGGCTCCGGGCGCGCCCCGGTCGGCGCAGCGGCCCGCCCCCAGGCGCCCCCGACGGCAGCGGCCCGCCCTGGGGTCCACGGGCCCCCTCCCCGGGGCAGCCCCGCCTGCGCCTCGTCCCCGCGGGGTGAGGGCACGGCAGGGTGTCCGCGAGGCCCCACCCCGGGGATCAAGTGTCCCCAACTCAGCGGCTGTATTTATAGCCCTGGCCTGGCCGCGGGGCGGTGCGCGCGAGGGCCGGCCCGCACCTGGCAGCGGCTGATGATGTCCGCGTCGGTGGCCAGCAGGTCCACCACCTTGCCCTTGCCCTCGTCCCCCCACTGCGCGCCCAGCACCACGGTCACCCGGGAGCCGCCGGCCGCGTCCTGCTGCAGCCGTCCGCGCTTGACGCCGCCCGCGCCGGGGGCGCGCTCGTTGGGGGCGCGGGTGCCCGACATGCCGCCGCCGTCCGCGCCCGGGGCCGCGCGCCCGCCGCTAAAAGGCGCCACCCGGGGCGGGCCGGGGCGGGGCCGTGACGCGGGACCCGCCCGCCGCGCGCGCCGGGCCGGGCCAGGCAGGGGTGGGGGCGGCGGAGCGCGCGGCATCCCCGGGTCCCCTCGAGGGGAGACACCTGCCCGCGCTCGCCGGGCGTCGCCGTCGCAGAAAGGACAGCGCGTCCCCCTGCCGTCACGCTGGGCGCCGGTTGCTTTGCGCCAGGCCCCGGGGGTGGCCGGCTGGCGGGGCCCAGGGGCCTCCCGTCAGGGTCTCCAGGCACCCCAAGCCCGCCGAAGACCAGAGTGTCCCGGGCTGCTGGGGTTCCCAAGAAGGGCGTGGAGGACAGGGGCCACTGGGACGGCGAAGCCCTGGCCTCAGGGGCGCCCCACCCCCGGCTTGGGCCACTTGTCCCCTGCGCGGTCCCTTTCTCTGGGGACAGCAGCTGAGGTGGGTGCAAGTGCTCCTGGGAAGGGCACCAGGCTCGAGTGGGCTCGGCAGCCTGAGATGCCTCCCCGCTGCCAGCCGCCCAGGGCGGGGTCCTGGCCTGGGGTCTTCGGGGGCATTCGGGGACTGGGGACTCTGGAGTGACGGGGGGGGGGGGTGAGGGATGCCAGGAACAAGGCCCTGGAGCAAGGTCCAGTGGGCGAGGGAGGGGTGTGTGGTGAGACAGCAAAGAGCCACGCATGGCCTCGGGGCCCGTGAGACGGGGAGGCAACTCTCCGGGGGACAGTGAGGTGGGCTCAGGGTGGCACAGGGCTTCGGTGGGGCTTGTCCAGAGTCCCTGGTGGGGGCGGCAGTGTGCTCATCTATAAACAGCCCCGGGCAGCCTGCAGCTGGGCACTGCCAGTCACCCGCCTGCTCGATTTAGATCCCCCGTGGCCTGGAGGGCGGCCACAGAGCCACGTGACTCAGGGACGCTGCTTTGCTGCCTGGCTTGGCAGGGCTGCAGCACCCACAGAGCAGACAGCCCGGCTACGAGCCCCCACAGGCTGCCCCGCTGCTGGCAGGGGACATGGGCGCACGCAAGCACTGGTGGGTCTGGACAGCGTCACACCTCGCATCCTCACAGCCTGGCCGCGCATGGGGCAGAGGGCACTGAGCCGGCCTGGGACCCTGGCGGAGGGTGGAATGTTCTAGAAGCAGGTCACAAGCTTGTGTACCTCTGAGCTGAATCCCTGAATGTGAGAGTGCAAGACACGTGGGCTGCTCCCTCCCGGGTACCACTCACCAACCCTATACCCGCCTCCTGCCGACCTCCCAGTCCCCCCGCCAGTCACCCGGGCAGGGTCAGACCCTTGCTGTGGGCGGGGATGCATGCGACCAGCGTGTTCTTTATTTGCAACGTCCTGCGGCCTGGGCCCCTAGGGACAAGCAGGACAGGCAGTGGCCTCTGCTGGAGTGGGGGGCAGGCAGGCCGTGTGTGGGCAAAGGGTGGGCATCCGGGGTGCCCCGTCTTCAGCAGCGGTGCTGGCCCGCCCTGGCCCCGCGCCCACCCGGCAGGCTCCCGGCAGACGCGCCTCCGCACTGGCCCTTCCGAGCGAGCCACTCTGCCCCAGGCCAGCTGAGCAGAGGCCCTGGAAGGGCAGTGAGAGCCGGAGGGGCGCGTTCCTGGGGTGGGCTGCTCCTGTGCGGGTGACGGGCGCATGCAGGGCGGGCACGGGAAAGCAGGCTGGGAGGTGCGGGTGGGCGGCCCAGCCACATCCAGGGTCCTGGCGGCCCCCCCAAAGGCTCCAGGGGCCGCGCTGGCTGGGTAAGGCACAGAGGAGTCGGGCTTCGGCGAGGCCTCACTTGGCTTTGGCCTGGGGCCTGGGGCCTGGGGGAGGGAGGGAAAGCTCAGAGTTAGCTCACCAGCCCTGACCCCACACGCTCCGTCCAGCCCCTGAGGCCGCCGGAATGACCCCAGCAAGTGTCCCTGCCATGGACTCCTGAACGGGGTCACCAGGTCCCAGCACCCGCCTGCCTATGCCTTCTGCTGCTCCGTCCCCAGCAGCGGTCCCCAGGCGGGGCACTCAGGCAGCCCTGGGTTGGAGGACAGCAGGGTGGCCACGCCTGGGACACAGGCTGTGTCAGGGCTGGGGGACCGGCGGCACCCCCAGGCCCGAGACGAGACCGGGAAGGAGAGGACGGCCACGCCCACAGAGGTGGGGCGACCCGCGCCCACCACACTCCACGTCACCAACTGGGAGCCTGGGTCGGGGACGGGGGCCAGCGAGGGACCGGCACTGCCCCAGGGGCCCAGGAAAACCTCATTCCCCACATCTCTGCAGACGCGAGGGGTGCCAGCAAGTGTTGTGAGGTCTGCGGTGACCCCCGGGACAGGGGCCAGCAGCACGGCTAGCGTCTTCGGCCATCAGACCCCGCAGCTCCCACAGGCTGTTCCCCAAAGTGTGGGGGCTGGACAGAGGGCGGCGAGGCTCCCGGCTGCTGACCCCAACCGTCCTGCCCTCTGCGCCGCAGGCAGGGGCTGGCCCAGGAGCTGACAGGCCGGGGGGGGGGTGTGTGTGCCTGGGGGTCCACCCCGAGCCCATCTGCTCCAGGCTGCACCCTGGAGGAGGGACCCAGCAAAGCGAGGGCAGCCCACCACAGGGGTCGGGGCGGGCAGTTAGTGTGGCGCCGCGGGCAGGTCAGAGCCGAGCGTCGTGGTTAGTGGTCAGCGCGCCACGCCCCGTTAGCTCGCCCCAGACCTACCTCACTGCACCGCGCACAGCCTGCCTGCCCTACCGGCAGGGTCGGGGGCCGCCTCTGCTTCCAAAGAGAGACGCGCTCAGCACCAGGCCCCTGGGCTCAGGGGGGCACGTCCCGGCTGTGGGGCTTGGGGGTACCCAGACACAGTGGTGTCCCCCGGAGCTTCCTCCCAGTGCAGAGGGACCGCCCCCCTCCCGGGGGGAGACCTGGGAGTCAGCACGGGTGCGGGGGAGGTAGCTCCACGGGGCCCCACACTCACCTTCCTGGCCTCTCGGGGGCCGCTTCTTCCTTCGTCGGCCTGTGCCCTTCGAGGCCCGGGCCCGAGCCCGAGGGAGGGTGCCGGACCCCGAGGAGTCGGTCACGGCGTCCTCAGACAAAGACCTGTCCAGCGACGTGTCGAGTGCGGAGTCAGGGCCTGTGTCCTCATCCAGGTTCCCCTCGCCAGGGACTGTGCTGTCCGCCTCAGCCTGGCAGGCGCCCGGCTGCGTGCTGGGCTCCGTCCCGGTCCCAGCACAGGGCGGGGGGTCCTGGAGGTCTTCAGGCAGAGGAAATTCACGGGCGTCCATGTACCAGGACGAGCGTCTCTGCGGGGTACAGGGGCGGCTCTCCTCTCCCGGGGCTCCTGCGCGGGTGTCCACAGGGTCCCTGCCCTGGGCCTCCCTGGCCGCCGCCGCCTGTGGACCAGGCTCCGAGGTGGGGGTGCTGCTGGGGTCTGTCCTGAGGGCCCCCGCAGAGTCGTCAGGGGCTGCTGTGGAGGAAGTCGCCAGTGGGTGGCCCGGTGGAGCCACCGGATCCCAGCTCTCCTGGGGTCTGTCCCCCCAAGCACGATGGCCATCGTGCTGGAACAGTGCCCACTCCCAGGGTCCTCGCAGTCTCAGGGCACACAGTGCATGCCCGCATGCTGTGTGTGTGTGGGCCAAGGCGTGTGGGTGGCCCCAACCTAGAGGACGAGGCTGGAGACCATCCCTGGTCCAGGGTCAGCCCAGGGCCCTCCCGAACTTCCAGGAGACTTCCTGGAGGAGGGGGCGGGAAGGGAGCAGGCCAGGAGGGAGCCAGGGTCTTACCAGGATCCCTGGCTCTTGGGGGCTCGGCCGAGGCTGCCTTGCTGCTACCCTCTGGGTCTCCGCGCCCACGGCTGGTCTTGCGCAGCTGGAAGCCCTTCCGGATGTCGGCCAGCAGCGCGTCGATGACGCAGACTTCCTCCTGCTGCGCGGCCCTCCTGCCTGTGGGCCATGGCCTCAAGGAGATGCCCCCACCTGCCCCCCCTGCACCCCTGGGTCAGACCCCTGCAGGCCTCACCAGGCTTCCCCTGCTCGCCCGGCGGCCGCCGCGCCTCCTCTTCCGCCAGCTGTCGCTTCCTCCGCTCCGCCTTGGCCGCCTGCTCCTTCCGGTCCTTGTTCTCCTAGGGTCCCATGGGAAGCAGGTGAGCGGGCGGCCCCTGGGACACCCGGGCACCGGGCGTGCGTGAGATCCTGCCCACCTTCAGGGCGCTGATGAAGAGGTCCCGGAACGCCTTCATGGTGCTGAAAGTGGCTTCCAGGGACAGCTGCTGCGGGTCCTCGCACAGGTAGGCGGCCAGGGCCAGCTTCTGCTGCTCGATGGCCTGGAACAGCTCCTCTACCTCCCGCGAGGCCTCGATGCAGGCCTGCGACACGCGCCAGGTCAGGCCGGGCCTCAGGTGGGCCTCCGCCCCTGCCCGCTCACCCTCCGGGTCCCTGCTTGCCTGCAGGCGCTGGCCGTACTGCTGCTGCACCTCGGGCTCGGCCGCGCACACCCTCCTGGCCATCTCCTCCAGCTTCTGCAGGGTGGAGGTCACCTCGGTGTGGAGGACATCCAGGTTGATCCTAGGAATTGGGGCCACCGGGTGGCAGGTGAAGGCAGGCCTCGCTGGGTGGCGGTCCCGGCTGGCACTCCCTGGGGATGAGGGGACGTCCCAGCTGCCCGCGGGCGGGGCCTCCTCTACTGCCCGTGGGCGGGACTCCTGACTGCCCATGGGCGGAGCCTCCCCTACTGCCCATGGGCGGGGCTCCTGGCTGCCCATGGGCGGGGCCTCCTCTACTGCCTGTGGGTGGGGCTCTTGGCTGCCCGTGGGCGGGGCTCCTGGCTGCCCATGGGCGGGGCCTCCTCTACTGCCTGTGGGCGGGGCTCCTGGCTACCCGTGGGCGGGGCCTCCCCAGCTGTCCGTGGGCGGGGCTCCCGGTGGCCCCTGGGCGGGGGGCCCCCTACCCTGCTGCCTGGGAGGGCTGCTCCAGTTCCTGCGGCAGTTGCAGGAGATCCGGATGACTCTTCTCCACTTCCTGCCACACACCACAGCATGAGCGCTGGCCCACCCCCCCTACAGCCCCCTGGCCCTAAGCAGCAAAGTCCGAACCCTTGAGGAGTGTGGGTGTGGGGAGATGATGGGAGAACAGGGCTGGGGAGGGCTTGGGGCAGGGCTTGAGCGGGTCTCAGGAGGTCCCAGGGAAGGCCCCTGATCCCTGACCACCATCTCACATGGCCCCCACGTGTCCCCGACCCTCTGGTGTGCCTGCCCCCCCCATCCCTGCAGACGTCCACTGGCCCTCCCAGCGTCCACTCCAGCCCACCTCCAGCACGTGGTGCAATAATGTCACGCGGCTCTGCTGGGACTTGGTCTCTGTGAGCTTGAGCAGGGTGTTCATCTTGAAGCCGTCGGCGTTCCCCGTGTGGCTGCCCTGGAGGGGGAGGGCGTGAGCGCCGGGGGGAGGACTGGGAGGGCGGGGAGGGAGGGCAGCCGAGGAGGGGCAGCTGGCTCACGTAGTTCAGGAAGTTCCCAATTTTCAGGATCAGCTGGCAGAAGACGGGCAGCTGCTGGCTGCTGAGCAGACCTGGGGGTGCAGCAGGCGAGGCTGAAGGGTGCCCGTAGGGGCCCTGGATCCCTGCGTGCTCCTTCCCAGGCTCAGGCAGGGAGGGGGCTGCAGCCCCCCCCAAACAGCACACCTCCCCGGGTCACCTGTAGGACCTGGCACCCCAGGGTGCCCCTCCCCACTCTAAGGAAACTTTTGGGACGCTGCGAAGGGCCACTGCAGGGCCCTGTCCCAGAAGGGAGCTGTCCTGTCCAGGGGGATGCCTGGCCCCGGATGCCTCACCGCCGGCGAGCACAGAATACACGTGTGTGCACACACGTGGATGTGCGTGTGAAGTACTCACCGTGGCAGGCGGCGAGTACCAGCTGGGCCTTGGGCCGCACCATGGCGAGCAGCACGGCCGTGCCCTCACACAGCAGCAGACACTGGACCCGCAGCGCGTAGCTGTGGGGGATGCGGGGTCAGGAAGGCGGGGCACAGCCCGAGACAAGCACTGTGGGGTGGGGGGGGGCGCCCACAGCCCCCACCCTCGAACCATGAGCCCGCACCGCCCGGAGGGAGACACCGGCCTACCCGGGAATGCCCAGCAGCAGCAGGTAGAACTGGTCGGCGCTGGCCAGTCGGCTCTTCTCCTCCGTGAAGGTGCGCAGGTTCTCAATCTGCGGGAGCGCAAGGGGCTCAGTTTCCCACGCTGCCCCTCTCTGGCGTACCGGGGCTCACCCCTCCCCCACGGCCCACCTCGTGCTTCTCCGGCAGGAGCTTGAGAAGCTGCTTGAGATTCTCCACGTCGAACTTGGTGGTGTCCCCGGCCCGGATCATGTCCACGATTTCCTCGTTGGAGCTGCACCACAGGTGGGGTGGCAGAGGGACAGTCACCTCTCAGCTGGTCCCCTGGACACCTGCGGCCAGCCCGGCCTCTCCAGGCCCCCCCTCTGCCCATCCCGCCCAAGGCTGCAGGGTCAGAGCGGGGGGCACAAAGCAGTGACCCCTGCGTCAGTCTTGCTGGGACAGAAAAGCACATCACCGCCGGGCCCCCGGCACCTGGGCAGCTTGGTCACCACCTGTCTGGTCCCGGGAGAGCCCCAACCACCTCCGGAGTGTCCCTTCCCGCCCGGGGACCCCCGCCCTGAGCTCAGGCGCAGAGCTCAGTCTGGCCAAGGACAGCCCGTCCCCGCTGCTCACCACTTAAACTGCTTCAGGAAGATGTTGAGGTTCAGGCTCTTCTTGGAGTCCAGAAAGGTGATCTGGAAGAACACCGGGCTGTGCTGGGCCTTGCGAGTGGGCGCCACGCCCCCCACGGCCCCACTTTCCCACGCGTCCCACCTCCTTGGGCTCCCTGCGGGCGGCCACTGCAGTGGGCTCCTTGGGCTTGGCGGCCGGGAAGGAGAAGAGGCGCTCGAGGCTGGACAGGTCGGGCTCGGGCCCCGCGGCGTCCGCGCTGGTCAGCGCTGCCCACATGGAGCTGCTCTCTGAAGGGAGAGGAGGCGCTGCGGGGACGCGTGCGGAGGGGGGAGGGGGCCGCTCCCTGCCCCCGTCAGAGGCCAGCCCCGCGCAAGCTGGGGGTCCTCACCGTGGGCCACGTGGGACGGCAGCTTCTGCCAGTTGAGTTTCTTCATGCGCAGCGTGGGCGGCTGCACGCGCCGGTGGCTGGGGACCCTGGCCGAGCCCAGGCTGTGGTCCACCTGTGCCACGACCACCTCCTCCACGCCGACCCCCGCGACGCCGGGCAGAGGCGGGGGCGGCGGCGGGCCCCCGGCCAGACCAGGCAGTGGGGGTGGGGGGGGCGGGGGTGGGCCCTGCACCCCGGGGAGCGGGGGCGGCGGCGGCGGCGGCGGGAGGCCTGGGGGGAAGGCGGCCCCCAGGCCGGGCAGCGGGGGCGGCGGCGGGGGCGGCGGCGGGGGCGCGGGGAGGGGGGGCGCGGGCGGGGGCGGGGCCGACTCCAGGCCGCCGAGGCTCGGGGGCTCCGGAGGCCGCAGTCCTTCCGCCTCGGCCTCGGGGGCATCACTGGGCCTCCGGCTGCTGCCCCTCCGACTCTGGCCCATGTCGGCCTGGACGCTCTTGTGCGCCCTGTCCAGGGAGCCGGGGGGAGGCCGCATCTTGGCCGGGAGGAGCCGCTCGACCACCTCCTCCAGGGAGCACTCCTGGGCTGCAGAGCGCGGGCGGGCGTCAGGTCAGTTCCCGGGCGGGCCGAGGCTGCCCCCTGCCCCCTGCGCCCTGCTCACCGTCGCTGGCCAGGAGCACGGCCCGGCTCACCAGGCCCTCGAGCGCCTCCCACAGCAGCTGGCCGGAGCGCAGGCCGGGCTCCAGGTGCAGGAGGCCCTGCAGCAGCGCCAGCAGCTGCGCCGACACGGGCGAGCAGCTCACCTGCGGGCGGGCGGGCGCGTCAGGGGGCCTCGCCGGGACCCCCCCCGCCCCCCGCGCGGGCACGCGGCCGGCGCCCACCTTGTGGAAGAGGCTGGCGAACACGGCCTGGTGGCTGCTCATGTCCACGCCCCCGCTCACGCGCAGCAGCTCCTCCTCGTCCTCCGTCTTGGCCTCCTCGAAGGCCTCCAGCTGGATGAGCAGGTCGGCGTCCTCCAGGTTCCTGCGGGGGTCCCCGCTGAGCCGCTGCGCCCCCCGCGCCCACTGCCCGCGGAGCTGGCACCCTGCTGAGTTTGCCAGCCAGCCGTCCCCCCCCAACTTGCTCCCCAAGCTGGTCCCCCTCCCCGGACATGCTCTGCCTGGACCCCCTGGGCCGGGGAGGTCCAGGCTGCCCGCCCCTGCGCCACTGGACCCCGGTGGGCGGGTCCCTCCCCGAGAACTCACCGCAGCCGGCTCAGGAGGTCCAGCAGCTGCAGACCTGGGGGTGGGGGTGGGGTCAGGGGGGCCTCTCCGTGCCGCCCAGGGCAGCTGGGGGCACGCGCCCACCCTCCCCACCCCCCGTTCCCACGCCCAGGTCAGCCGGTGGTTACCCACAAACTCGCCCCGCAGTTGCGTGCGGGTGCGGAGGTCCTCGGGGCCCAGGATGATGGCGTTGATGACGCTGAGCAGGGTGACCACGTAGGGCACGTTGTCCGTGTCGGCCAGCTCGTTCATGATGACGCTGAAGCGGTACTGTTGGCTGCACACCGTCTGCGGGGTCGTGGGGGTCAGCGTGCGCCCCGCCCGCCAGCCCCCCGCGGCCACCCTCTGCGCGGCCGCCCGCACCTTGTAGTGGTCCAGGGCGTCCAGGGCCAGGGCGTGACCCTCCGGAGAGTAGATGCACAGGGCGGCCAGGAGCTCGAACACTTGCTTCTTGACCATCACGTTGGACGTGTCCAGAGCTGCAGAGCGCAGGCCAGTGTCTCGGGGGCGCGGTGGTCCTCGCAGCCCCCTGGTCGTCCAGCCGACCTAGCCGCTCATTCAGTGGGAGGCGGCCGCCAGGGGGCGCTCTGCGCCGCCCGCGCGTCTCGGCCTCCCCCGCCCCCACAGCTGACCCGGTGGCCAGGGCCTCTCCTGACAGTGTCCTCATCCCAGCTGGGGAACTTCCGGCCGCCCTGGAGCAGGCTCTGCTGAGCGCAAGTCACAAGAGACTCCAGAGGGGCGTGGAGTGGAGGAGGTGGCGCTCGCGCCCGGCCCCAAGGGTGACCTGCCCGTCAGCGGCAGATCCCGGAGTTGCAGGTGGTGGTCAGGCCTGCTGGCTGCTAAGGACCAGCTCCTGATGGGGTGGGAGCACACAGTGACCACCAAGGGGGCGGCCCAGAGACTGGGGACTGACTGCAGTCTGAGGAGGCTTCCTGGAGGGGATGACAGTTGGCCGGAACGTTTGCAAGTGCAAAGGCAGGAGGTGGAGGTCAGGACAGGGGCGCTCAGGGCGGGACCCCTGGGTTTCTGGAACAGGGGACCGGGCAGGGTCGGGGGAGTACTACGCAAGAGCGGGTGAGGGCCAGGTGTGCGCTGTAGCCCGGGTGGTGGAGGGGCTGGGTGTAACAGGGTGGGCGTTGCTTTTCCTGACTCTCTTGTTCTGGGGCCACACCTGGTGATGCTCAGGGGCTACTCCTGCCTTGGTGCTCGGGGACGAGTGAGTGGCGGCATCAGACCAGGGCGTCAAGCACGTGAAACCTGTGCCCTGCCCACTCAGCCCACTCTGCTGCGCCCACGGGCTGCAGCTGGACCCAGGGAAGGGCAGGGGCAGTGGGGTGAAGGAGGTCCCAGCACAGTGCCCAGAGCAGCTGGTGGCCAGCCGGGGTCAGCACCATCCGGGGGCTCCACGCCTGGACCCCACCTTCCACCAGCAGAAGGGGCTTGGGCATAGGTAGCCACGGTTACCCACAAACTCGCCCTGTCAGAGTTGGTGCATGTGTTCGTCTGACTGTCCATCTGTTCTCACCCTGTGAGGCTTGATGCACGTGTCTGTCCATCCAACTGTCCGTCCGTCCTCACCCCAGGAGAGCTGGCGCATGCGTCTGTCCATTTGTCCGTCCGCCCTCACCCTGGGAGAGCTGGCGCACGTCTGTCTGTCCGTCCGTCCTCACCCCAGGAGAGCTGGTGCACATGTCTATCTGTCCGTCCGTCCGTCCTCACCCCGGGAGAGCTGGCACATGTCTGTCCGTCCATCTGTCCTCATCCTGGGAGAGCTGGCGCACGTGTCTGTCTGTCCATCGTCCGCCCTCACCCTGGGAGTGCTGGTGATCGGATCTGTCCATCCATCCGTCTGTCCTCACCCCTGGAGAGCTGGCACACGTGTCTGTCCATCCATCTGCCTTCATCCCAGGAGAGCTGGCACGTGTGTCTGTCTGTCCGTCGTCCACCCTCATCCCGGGAGTGCTGGTGCACATGTCTGTCTGTCCGTCCATCCATCCATCCTCACCCCGGGAGAGCAGGCACATGTGTCTGCCCGTCCGTCTTCCCTCACCCCGGGAGAGCTAGTGCACGTGTCTGTCCATCCGTCCATCTGTCCTCATCCTGGGAGAGCTGACGCACGTGTCCGTCCGTCCGTCCGCCCTCACCCCAGGAGGGCTGGCGATTGTATCTGTCCGTCCGTCCTCATCCCAGGAGAGTTGGTGCACGTGTCTGACTGTCCGTCTGTCCACCCTCACCCCAGGAGTGCTGGCGCACGTTGTCTGTCCATCCGTCCTCACCCCGGGAGAGCTAGTGCAAGTGTCTGTCCGTCTGTCCATCTGTCCTCATCCTGGGAGAGCTGGCACATGTGTCTGTCTGTCCGTCATCCGCCCTCATCCCGGGAGTGCTGGTGCACATGTCTGTCTGTCCGTCCATCCATCCATCCTCACCCCGGGAGAGCAGGCACATGTGTCTGCCCGTCCGTCCGTCTTCCCTCACCCCGGGAGAGCTAGTGCACGTGTCTGTCCATCCGTCCATCTGTCCTCATCCTAGGAGAGCTGACGCACGTGTCCGTCCGTCCGCCCTCACCCCAGGAGTGCTGGCGATTGTATCTGTCCGTCCGTCATCATCCCAGGAGAGTTGGTGCACGTGTCTGACTGTCCGTCTGTCCACCCTCACCCCAGGAGTGCTGGCGCACGTTGTCTGTCCATCCGTCCTCACCCCGGGAGAGCTAGTGCAAGTGTCTGTCCGTCTGTCCATCTGTCCTCATCCTGGGAGAGCTGGCACATGTGTCTGTCTGTCTGTCATCTGCCCTCACCCCGGGAGAGCTAGCACATGTGTCTGTCCGTCCGTCCATCCGCCCTCATCCCGGGAGAGCTGGCGCACGTGTCCGTCCGCCCGTCCGCCCGTCCTCACCCTGGGAGAGCTGGCGCACGTAGGCCTGGTTGCTGAGGATGTAGCGGATGCCGGGCTGCGAGTTCATGACGGCGCGCACGCAGCTGATGCACGTGAGCTGCAGCAGGGCGTCGGCGATGCGCGCCACCCCGCGGCCCGAGAGGCGCGCCAGGGCCTCGAGCAGCAGGTCCAGGCCGCTCTGCTCCAGGAACTGCACCATCCAGGCGCCATCACTGCTCTCCAGGCGCTTGCGCAGCCCCGAGTAGTTGACCACCGACGGCACCTGCAGCAGCCGGATGCACAGCTCGGGGTCGGCGCTCTCCAGGTTGGCCTCGGTGGGGTCCGAGTCCTGCGGGCTGAGCTTCTCCTTCAGCGCCGCCCACTTGCGCTGGGCGCCCTCCTTCACCGACATCCTGCTGAGCTGCGGGCACAGGCGGTGGGCTCGGCGGGCGCCCTGGAGGGGTCCCGACCCCCAGCCCAGCGAAGACCACCCAGCAGGGGAGGAGGAAAAGGGCGACTCTGGCGCCTTCCTGCGGGTTGCCAGGAAGGGCACTCGGCGGCCCTGTGTGCGCTGTGGGCAGCTTGTCTGTCCTGCAGCAACAGCCGTGACCTCCCGCACAGAGGTCACGTGACAGGATAGTGGGGGCTGCCCCGCTGGTTCTGGTCCCCGGACCCTCTTCCCATGGAGCCCACACGGGAAGCAGCCCCAGCCCCCGGCTCCCCCGCCAGCCCTCCTTGCTCTGAGCCTCAGTTTCCTCCTCAGCATCCCTGAAGGCTCCCGTAGGCAAGGGGTGTGGGGGTCCTGAGCTGGGTCTGCACCCGTCACCCATATGCATGGGGCCTTGGCACCTTCCCACCCGCTCCTGGCTCGACCACCAACTGTCCCCCATATCCCTGACACCCCACTCTTCTGATCCACACTCCCCTGACCCAACACTCGGCTCCCTCACTCTCCTGATCCCTCACTATTCATAGCCCCCCACCCCCCAGCCCCTGACTCTCCTGCCCCTCATCCTGCAGCACAGGGCCCTGAGGTGGGAGTATGCGGGGGACAGTCCTCTGCCATCAGCCAGGGCACTGCGGCTTAGAGATCCTGTCCTGGGAAGTGTGGTGGGCTGCAGCCGTGCCCCCAAGCTCTGTGCAGGCAGGGAGTGTGCCCAGGCGCACCCAGTGTGGACGGGCGTCACGACCCCAGAAGCTGGGGTCACTTACCTGAACCCCCTTCCTCTCAGTTCCCCGAAGACTTTCAGGAGCTCCTGGGCCGCCTGCGGATAAACACGGGGCTCAGACCACAGCTGCGCCCGCCAGGCCAGCGGGAAGTCGGGCTTCTATCTCCAGCAAACAGCCAGGAAGCCCAGCACCACCCGGTGACCGTCCCCACGGAAGGCCGGGGCCTCACTCATCACAGACACCCCTTAATCTTTGTCCCTATTTCAGTCTTTATTTTTTTTTTAACCAGCAAATTATTTTGCTTTTTGGGTCACACTTAGCAATGCTCAGGGGTTACTCCTGGCTCTGCACCTAGGAATTGCTTCTGGTGGTGGTCAGGGGACTATATGGGACGCTGGGGATGAAACCCGGGCCGGCTGCATGCAAGGCAAATGCCCTATGCCCTATTCTATCTCCCCTATTTTAGTCTTAAGATAAAACGTCCACCCTGTGCCCCCAGACCTGGCCCCGGGGCCTGCGGGTGTCTGTAAGGAATCTCGTGTTTTGTTTTTTTCTTTTTGGGTCACACCCGGGAACGCACAGGGGTTATTCCTGGTTCACGCACTCAGGAATTACTCCTGGCAGTGCTCAGGGACCATACGGGATGCTGGGAATCGAACCCGGGTCGGCCGCCTGCAAGGCAAATAGCACCGCTGTGCTATCGCTCCAGCCCCAAGGACATAAGAAGTCTCTGCAGGCACGCGGCCATCCACCACAGGAATGCTTTGAGCCCCTGGCCAACAGCTGGGGCATGACCTGGACGCACAGGAACGCGTGGACAGGCACAGAGCAAGATAAGGCTCTGCCTCGTCACCTGTGCTGGCTCCTGCACATGTGTGCATGCCTGCGTGCGTGCGTGTCTGGGTGTGTGTATATTTGCGATGCCCTGCTGATAAATATGGGCTGGAAAGTAGGTGCTTTCCTGCTGGGCTTACGGCCTGGCTGTCCCAGAGCAGGGACAACCCTCTGTTCTCAGCAGGGTATTCGCTGGACCACTTGGACCCAGGGGTCTTTGGACACCTTTCCCTGCCCAGGCAGGCAGGCGCTCCTGAAAGTGCTCTTGAAGCCCCGCCCCCCGCCGCAGAGGGGCGGGCCCTTCCTTAGGGGGCGTGGCCTCCAACAGGGCGAAGTTCCCATTGGCAAGTTTCTGCGAGCGGCCCTCCCACGGGAGGCGTGGCCTTCAGCAGGGCAAAGTTCCCATTGGCAAGTTTCTGCAAGTGGCCCTCCCGTGGGGGCATGGCCTCCCGCAGGGTGGAGTTCCCATTGGCAAGTTTCTGCGAGCAGCCCTCCCACGGGGGGTGTGGCCTCCAGCAGGACGAAGTTCCCATTGGCAAGTGTCCTCGAGTGGCCCTCCCATGGAGGGCGTGGTCTCCAGCAGGGCAAAATTTCCATTGGTTTCTGCGAGCGGCCCTCCTGCGGGGGCGTGGCCAGCCCAGGCACGTTCACGCCCCCGCGGGGGTCTGGCCTGTTCAGGAATTTGCCAGCTCAGAGGTCTGGGTGGGCACTCGGGGCTCCGGTGCCGTCCCAGTGGCCTCCTCGGGCCAGGAGTCCCTTGCAGTATCCCCGCGAGGGCTCCAGAGCGGGCTGTCCCCGGGCGTGGGGACACGCTCCCTGCCAACACAGGCTGCGGGGAGGGGATGCCAGTCCAGTGAGGCCCTGGCCACTGCCGGGGTGGGGGCAGCTCTGTGGGGGCCTCCCTCCGGCCCTCTCTTAGCAGGACACTTCCCTGGCGGCCAGAGCCTACCCCAACTGACATCTGTCAGTCTGCGGGTCCGCGTGCGCACGCATCTGTACGTGTGCAGCGGATCCACGCGGCCCGCAGCCCCGTCACGCTGACATCCGCCTTGGCAGCAATCCGTGGGCAGAGGTGGTGTCCTGCCCCCGCGTGGCGTGGGAGGTTTGGGGGTGCCTCTGTCCACTCCTACCCCCGGGAGACGCCGGCGTGAGGGGGGCAGGGGGGCTGCGTGCTCCTGGGCCCGAGCCAGCAGGCGGGGGCGGCGCGGAGCCGGGCGCGGGATTCCGGAACTGCGGGCGGGGGCTGCGAGCAGTATTTTTAGCTCTTCCAGGACCCAGATTTCCCGACTGCCTGGCAACTCTCGGATGGCAGCGCCTGGAGCTCGGGGGCAGCCCAGGCCCTGGGGGGGAGCGAGTCGATCCACTGCGGTCCCCATCGCTCCTTCCCGGGACGCCCTCTCCATGCGTCCCCCGCTGGCCCGCTCCGAGGGGCCGGTGGGCCGGCTGGGAAGGGGCAGAGCTGGTCGGGCCGTGTCCTGCTGTCCCGGCCTCCCGAGCCAACCCAGGAAAGAGGAACCCCCTGGGCTGCGTGCGCTCTGCGGGGCAGATGAAGAGCAGCACCCGCGGGGGTCAGGAACAGTATCTGCAGGACCCCTGGCGCCTGCCCAGGGGCCCTGCCCCGCACTGCGGCCAGAGGACTGGGCCCGAGAGCTCCCGGGACACGGGGACTCGGAGAGGGCAGCCTGGGCCGGGCCAGGGGGCCTGTGCCACGGGTGCCCTGGGCCCACTCCGGAACACAAGGGGAACAGAAGGCTCCGCGGGCGGTGCGGGCTGGCAACAGGAAACACGGCGGCTGGGCCCGGGCTGGGCTCCTGGGAAGGGCGGGGGCAGGGCGCTTCCCTCCCGCTCAGGTCAGCAGGCTGGGGGCACAGGAAGGGTGGGGCGCCCCGAAACCGCCTCCACCTGTGTTGGGGGGGCTCAGCCCCCAGCCCGCCACAGCCCCTGCCCCCAGCCGCCCCCACCCTCACAGCCATGACCCTCGGCTGGGGGTCCCCACGGAACCCACGGGCTGCTTCTCTGGCTTCCTGATCAGATGCAGCCCTGAGGGTCTCTGGCACTGCTGCCCCTACCCCTGCCCCTGCCCTGTCCCTTGGCCCAGCAGGGCTCCTGCTGGAGTCAGGAAATGGGGACAAAGAGACAGATTGATGGTGAGGCCCCCCCCCTCCTGGCCGTGCCAGGCTCTGGTCTGACACCCCCACTCTGCTCTGCCCTGCCTGACCCCCTGACCCGGACCCTGACAGGCGCTCCAGCTCCCCGTGTCCAGCTGTCCACGTTGCCTCTCCCACCCGCGAGCTGCCTCTCACCCCCACGCCTGTCTGAACGCACCCCCGGGGTCTGGGCCTCGCCTGCGCCTGCGGGGGCAGGACACCCCCAGGCCGGGTGACAGATGTCTCCCCTCCGAGGCTGTGTGGGCGGCGGTGCCTGGAGCAGAAAAGGGACAGTATGGCCAGGGCCATGCAGGGTCTGGAGGGACCCCCGGGGGGGCCCTGTGTGTCCTCCGTCCCACTAAGGCCATGAGCTGCAGGACCCCCAAGAGACTAGGGGGCCCCTCCCGGGCCTGCACCCCGGATGACCACCCCCATCTCCCTTCCCACCCTCTGCTCTCATGGGGTCCAGGGATCAGACCACCCAGCTCCCAGGGAGGGGTGGGGCAGCCTGGAGGCTGCAGGGGTGCTGGGGCCAGGAGAAGGAAAGGCGAGCAGGGTGGTTCCCGTGGTCAGGCGCTCCTGGGGGGCTGCTGGACACTCCACACCAGGCCCCAGGAGCAGCTGCATGTGCGTGGGGGTCTCTGCACCTTGCCACTGTGGGACAGCCCCCGGACCTCCAAGCAGCCCCTGGGCGACAGGGGGCCCTGGATGGCTGTCGGGGAGGAGCCCCCTCATAGGCAGAAGCAGCCAGAGCCCGGGACCCTGCAGAGGGACCCGGCACCCCCAGGTGCCCCGGGCGGGGGCGAGCACGGGGGCGCAGTGGGAAGCACGGGCTGCAGGGCCCCCCCCACCCCTGCACCTCTGCAGGAACACGGCCGGGAGGGAGCGGGTCTATTCACAGTGCCGGGAGCTGACAGCTCATCAACACCCACGGGGGCTCACCTCGGCCCTGCCCCCCGCAGCACCCACTGGGCCCAGGCCCTGGAGGAGGGGGGCTGCACCAGCTGTGCCCCCAGCTTCTCAGAAAGTTGGCGCGGGGTCTGGAGACAGTAGGGCCGCCAGGGCGCTTGCCTGGCGCGCCGCTGACCTGGTTCCATCCCTGGCACCTGTCAGGACTGGTCCGGAGCAGCAGCGGGGATCCCCAGCCAACGCCAACAACCCCCACCCCAAGAAGAAAGCCGGCCCGAGAGTCGGTGGGCGGGGTGGGCTCAGGGCGCAAGTCCCACCCAGACCCTGGCGCAGAGACCCCCTTCCACCACAGGGTGACTGGACAGCCCGCCCGCGGGAGCTCAGATGGGGAAACTGAGGCACACGAAAGGCCGGGGTCTCGGGCTCCTGCCGGGCAGGGGCGGGGCCGCGGGGAGAGTGTCCGCCTCCAGCGCCGGCCGTGACCTCCGGCCCGGTCTCTTCTTCCCCAAAGCCGGGTCCCGGGCCGGTCACGGGACCGGGTCCGGGCCGCGCCGTCACCCCGGGCGGGTGTGTCCGCGCCAGCCCGGGTCCCAGGGCCCGGCTGGCGCAGCGCGGAGCTGGGGGCGCGGGTCCGGGGGGCGCGGCGGGGACGGACGGGGTCCCGGGGCCACCTGCGGCCGGGCGGGCGGCGTGGCACCGCAGGGGCGCGAGTGGAAGTTTGTTTTCCAGCCGCGATGGGGCTTCCCGCGGCCCCCGCGCTCCGCAGCGCGACCTCGGTCCCCGCCCCGCCCGCGCGCCCGCCCGCCCGGACTCAGTTTCCCTCGCGGCGCTCGGACTTACCGGGCGGGGGCGCAGCGGGCGCGGGTCCGGGGCTCCGGCTTGGCGGGGCTCGGGCCGCGGTCGGCGGGAGGAAGGGGAGGCGCCGCCCCACCCGGCCACGTGGGCCCGCGCCGGGGGCGAGGGGTGGAGCCGGGGGGCGCGCCGCCCCGCCCCGCCCCGCCCCGGCGCCGTCCCGGGCTGTCCCTGGGAGGGGGACGCCGGGGAAACCCAGCCTGGCCGCCCCGGCACGCGGGGCCCTGCCCTGCCGCCGCCTCCGAGCAGCCCTCCCGGGCGGCACCGGGCCTGGTGCCGTGGCCAGGAGGGTCGCCTGTCACCTGGGGGTGTCTCCGCGCGCCCCGCACAGGAACCCAGAGGAGGCGGGCGGGGGGGGGGAGGGACAGGCCGCTCACTGCAGCTCCCGGGGACGGGGTGCAGGAAGAGGGGATGAGCCTCAGTTTCCCTAGCTGGAAAGGAGGTGATGAAAGTGTCCTCAAAGAGCACGTGCAGGTGAGATGGTTCCCAGCGGCAGGGCGCGGGGCGCAGACTAGCGGGTGTCCCCGTCGCGGGTGCGGGTCGTGGCCGGCGACCCCACCACGCCGCGTTTCTGGGCCGGAGCGCGGGCGCCCGGGGAGGGCGGGGCGGGCCTGGCGGGGCTCTGGGCACGGGACGCCCCGCCTCTCCTTCAGGCGTGGCCTGGGGGCGGGTCGGCTGTGGGCGTGGCTTTGGCACCCGCGGGTGGGCTGTGAACCCCAAAGGAGCGGTGGGAGCCCGCGGGTGGGTGTGGGTCAGCCCTGGCCAGGGGGGCTCTGCTGAGTCTCCTTAAAGGGTCTGGACCTTTTGGGGACCCCCTTGTGCACTGCCCCGGTTGAGCCTTGGGGCTTGACGGTGGGGGAGGGGCAGGCTGGGCTGCGTGTTGGGGTCCCGGCCTGGGCTGCCTGGGTGGGGACCCTTCGAGGACAGTTTCATCCCGTGGACGTGGGCAGTGTGGCTCAGTGGTCCAGCCCTTGCTGCTCGGAGTGGCGTCAAGTGGGCGCAGGGCACGCGTCCACGGGCGGTGCAGGACTGCTGTGTGGCTCACGTGCCCGCTTGGCTGTGCCCACGCGCAGGAGGGGGCCGCCGCACTGGACGCAGGGCCCAGGTTAGGTCGCCCAGAGTCCTAGTGTCCCCCTGGGGAGCCGGGCGCCCTCCCCGGTCACCCCTCTGCCCTGCAGCTTCCTGGGCTGAGGTGGGGTCTCAGCTGCTGCTTTCCCCGGCACCCCCCTGTTCGGGAGGGCTCTGCCCCTCTGGCCCATGTCCCAGGACCCCCCCCCCACCTGGGACCCTCCTGTGGTGTCCCAGGGTGGGCGTGGGAGGCGGCTCGGGTGCCGTGCGGGGTGCCGGCCGCCCTCCCCTCCAGGCCGCGTGGGGGGGAAGCAGCTGTGTCTGAATCACTCGGGGAATGGAGGAAGCTGTTTCCACCATCTGCCTCCCGGGGGGCAGGGCAGGAGGGAGCAGGGCACTGGGGGCACAGACATGGGCTCCAGACGCCAGCACGGGGCTGCGGGGAGGGGCTGGGTGGGTGGGTGGGTGCCGGTGCCAGCAGGCCCACCCTTGCTGTGTCACCCACCACGGGGTGCAGGAGCGGGCAGGGGTCCCCTTGTCTGCAGGGGAGAGCCCAGGCTGCACAGCCTTCCCCTGGGACGGGCCGGCTACGAGCCCAGCAGTTGCAGAAGGCGTAAGGTCGGGCTGCAGGGGACCCTGAAGGCTCTGGAGCAACATGGGGGCCGTTGGGGGTGTGAGCCAGGCCCTGGGGCACCTTCTCTTCAGATAAGCCAGGCTTGCGACACTGCTCCCTGTGGGGCTTGTGGTGCGGGTCATACCTGGCAGAGTGTGGCTCCAGGCGTGTGGGGACCCAGCACGGACCGGTGACCCAGTGGCTGGAGGCGGACCAGGCCCCACCTGGTGGTGAGGGGCCCGGAGGTAAGATGCCGCTCGGCTTGGCCCGGCCCAGCCCTGACCATGCCACGCGTTGCTTCAGGCTGACGCTGGCTGCCCCCAGCAGTGACTCACTGCTCCACACCCAGCCTCTGGTGAGACGCTGCCCCAGCCTCGTGAATCTTGTGATGGCCGCAGGGAACAAGGCGCCCCACACCCAGTCTTGGACGAACACCTGGACAGGGAGGGGTGGGGTGGGGCGAGCTGGCACTGGGCAGAGGCAGGGCAGGGTCCCCAAAAGCAGGAAGGGAAGGCTGGGAACGAAGCGGCTTCTTCTGTGGGGACCCTAGCTGGAATCTGCAGCCAGTGACATGGGGACACAGCACCGCGGCCCAGCACACCGCCGCCTTTGGTCTGCAGACAGACTTGGCCATTTCTCTCCTTTCCGTGTGTGTGTGTGTGTGTGTGTGTGTGTGTGTGTGTGTGTGTGGTGGTGGTGCTGGAGGGGCAGTTGAGTCACATGCAGTGCTGCTTGGGGGCTGCTCGTGGCTCAGTGCTCAGGGGACCACACGTACCCAGACTGAACCGAAGTTGGCCGCACGCCAGTAAGGTCACCTCCGTCTATCTCGTCAGCCCCTCACTTTCTTTTTCATAAGCTTGAATTTTAGATTCCTCCTTGGAGTCAGATTCCTCCTGCATTTGGGGGTTCTGGGGCATCGGCACCCTGTTTTTCTCCTGGACCCGCTTAGATCAGGGCTGCTGCAGTCCACAGAAAGTGAGGAAACGTTCTGCTGTTCTGTAGAGCGATGCTTGGCTGGACACAAGCCACTGCTGTGCTCTGGAGTAAGAGCCTGTCGTGCAGACGAGGCCGAGAGGGCGATGGGGAGGGCCGGGATGGGTCAGCACACACAGACCCTGCCTCAGGGCTCAGGCCTCACAGAATCCAGCTGCTCCTCTGCCGCCCTCAGCCCACTCATCAATCGACCCCTCTATCAGTCCACCCACCCCTCCACCCACCCGCCACCCATCCATCCATCCGTTCATCCCGTTACCAGCTAAGGGTCGCCACCTACACATTCAGGGGCCAGCACTGCGGTGCCAGCTTCTGAGACGAGAAGTGGCCTCGCTGGGGGACGAACTGGCAGGGGCACTGGAGGCCAGGCTGAAACCAGTCTCGGACCTTAGGCCTGGGGCAGGGGGGAATGGGATCAAGGGATTTGAGTGACCTGGGTAAAATTGATTTGTGGATCTTGAGGCAGTTCATATAAAGTCAACGGGATCTCACGCTCTGCCGCTAAGTTTCTGGTATTTTGCATCTGCTGGTGCATACCGGTGAATTCTGGTTCCTCTGGTGCCTGCATATGTCTGGCTTTGCATCCGGCAAAACAACTTAATCTTCTGTTAGCAACAACACTCAGGATGGGGGAGCTTAAACAAAAGGCAGGAAATGTTCCCAGCCTAGATTCTGTTTAGTTTGGCCTCAGTTCCTTCATCTAACTGTCCATTGACCCATCCTTCTCCCGTCCACATACCCTTCACCCACCCATCCAAGCACCCATCCATCCATCCCTCTATTCACCCATTCACTCACTCCCCCATCCACCCATCCACCCACCCCCCACCCCCCCACCCACCCATTTACCCACTCCGCTCTGTAAAATCTTCCGAAAGGCTCCTGGGCATGTGGTGCTGATGAGGCCAGCTTAGCAAAGGCCCAGGCTTCCCCTTGAGTAGTGTTATTGGCTTTAGCAAATAAGAACACCGGACAGCGAGTTCGACTTGAGGGCTGTGGTTCGGTGCTCGAGTGCATTTCTGCCACGTTGAGGCTCTGGATCGAGTCTCTGGCACTGCAGAGCAAACGGAGCCTGAGTTTCAGACAGACAGTGAATGCCACTGGCATGAAATCTGTCCGGCAGTGTTGAGCTGACGTGAGCACAGGGCTCTTGGGGATGGACAAGGAAGCGTGTGGTCGCTCATGTGACAGCGGCTACTGGGGTCCTGCATCTTTAGTGGCAGCCATGGAAGCTGACCACGAGGCCTCAGCCAGGGCCCTGAGCTTTCCTCAGCCCTCTCTGGGGCTTCCCTGAGTTCGGGCAGCCCCGTGGGGTCCCTCTGTCCGATGCTGCAGAATTCCACCCAAAGCCAGAGGCAAAGCAAGCAGCATGGCGGAGAAGGGGGCTCTTGCGTGGTGCTTGCAGACCCGAGTGCCCGTGCTCCGGAGCTGGACCCCAGGGCGGGGCCGTTCCAGACTGTCTCACGGACGGGGTGTTCGCAGAAGCTCCCAGGCATGGTCTGGGCACCTGAAGGACACGCGCACATGCAGAGATGTCCCCAGGTTACCAAGGTCATGGAGCGAGACTGACCATCTCCAGGACATCCAGCACAGAGGACTCAGCTGCCCCAGGCGGTGGCCAGTGTGGAGTGTGGCAGCGCTGTGTGTCTGTCCGTGTCCCTCCTGCTGCCCATGGCTGCCGTGTCCCAGCCAACAGTCTCTCTGCTCCTGCCCCAGGGCACGACTACCGGTCCGGCCAGACCCGGGCCAACTCCGGAGGCAGCTGTGCCGGTGACGGCGATGCTGGCCGGTGGCTTGCCATGAAGCCTGACGCCTGAGGCCTGGCTCTCTGGCACCCGCGGGTGAGAGTCACGAACAGTGAGTGAGTCTCAGAGAGGCGACATCAGGCCTGAACGCCACCCAGCTGGGGCAGCTCAGGCAGAGCCCTGCAGAACAGCTTTGTTCCCTGAGCTTAAAATAGCTGAAAATGCGAACATTTCCCCCAGATCTGCCGGGAGGCAGTACAGGGGGTTCTCTCCCGCCCGCCTTGGACGCAGCCAACCCTGATTCAATCGCCGGCTCCACATATGGTCCCCTGAGCCCCGCCAGGAAAGATCTCTGAGTACAGAGCCAGGAGTAAGCCTTGAGCACTACCGGGTGTGACCCAGTCTTTCCTCCTGCACCCCTCAAATAAGCAGAAGGTGCAGGAAGGCTCCTGTAAGATTAGACTTTAGCAGATGCGATGTTGATCCGTGGGGACTTGCTTCGTGGGTCTGGGGCCACACTGGCGATTTTGGTGCTAGGGCTTACTCCTGGGTTGGCCACTGCTGGGGACAGCTGGATTTGTGGTGGTTTAAGGGCTGCCAATGGGAGCCAGGACAGCAGCCCTTAGCATGTGGCCCTGTGTCACTGCCCCCCTCAACCCCCACTTATGGACGCTGCCCCGGGACTATGCCTCAGTGGGTCTCACTGGAGCTCAGGGCTCGGCCAGGGCCGAAATGCCCCCCTCCCCCAAGAAGATGGCTGGAGTTGAGAAAGGAGTGGATATGCTCTCGGGATGAGATGAGAGCTGGCACTGGGGTCCCCGTCAGGGCTGCGGGACAGGCATGTGGTGGCGGGGACGCTGGTGCGTGGCCAGACTCCGGAAGCAGACGACCTTTGTGGTTCACAGGGTTAGTGACCGTGTCGGTGGCGTCACAGACTGTGCTGTGCTAACAGTTGTGCAACTCACCGCCCGGGCTCTTGGAACAGCGCCACTGTCGGTCACAGCCTCTGATGGTGGTTCACTCACTGCCCCTGGTCCCACCTGCTGTGGCAGTTG